CAACATCGTTTCAATGTGCATGTTAAGTGAAGATCAATCACTCCAGGACTGGGACGTATGAAATCGGTTATTTCTGAATGACCAATCAAATAAATTACGCATATTATTTACTTCTCTCAAATATTTTTTTCAACTACTCATCAGAAAAGCTGGTGCCAGGTCTTCCTGCCTAACACTGACGTTATGGATATTCTCGAAGCATTTTGATCTCCATATTAGTTGATATTAATTGATATATCTCAATTGCTTCACTTGGTTAACCTTAAGGTACTGACTGACAGCGTAGACTGTGTAAGCGAATACTCAATAGCCAGTTGGGTTAGATATTTCCGTTGCACATACAGTCACTGTCATTAACAATGGAGCTTTCAGTGATATTCCTGTCATCAATACTATAAAATTTGACGTATAATATTCATTATCGCCGAATTTATTTTCATGATACGAAAGGACCATATGTGTAAAACTTGGGCATTGTGGTAGTAAGTAATTCCATATTAGTTTGTTTATTAGATGTATCAAACACAGTGATGAAAAAGTATTATTTACTGGATGACGTTTCGAACAAAATTTATTGCCATTCATAATCATATCATTGTAATCACACGACAGTGAAGCTTGAGTTTTATAGTTTACTTTGTCTTCTCCCATTCGTCGTCGTAGGGGTAGTAGAATTTTCCAGATATCTGGGTGGACAGGTGTTGAATCATTCCTATTACATGTATTTGCAGTTGATTCGATAAACAAAGCTTTTGTTATCAATCTCTCTCTCCACTAATACACAGATTAGATAATTTAAATTCAGATAATGAAAAAAAATGGCTACAGGATTTCATCATGAGCTGACATTAGTTAGAGAACCATTGGAAAACCAACTGGGAGTACTGGACAGCTGTTTCGTACTAGTTTGGGACTCTTCATCATTACGCACCCACCGGATTTGAACCCAGGACCCGGTGGGTTCGTACTTCTGAAGAGTCCCAAACTAGTACGAAACAGCTGTCCAGTACTCCCAGTTGGTTTTTCAATGGTTCTCTTACTAATGTCAGCTCATGATGAAAACCTAAAACCAACGAAATCCCTACAAACCAACACTTAACAAATGGTTAGTTTTAGCATTGTCAATTTATATACACGTATACCAATAAGTATGGCTGTCAAGGCAGTCGGAAACGAACTCATTTCTGAGCAAGAACTCGAACTTGGGAGAAAAGAGCCAATCGAGGACATAATGATGGGAGTGCAGCTTTTCCTCACTTCCACAGTATTTAAATTCCAAGGGAAAATATACAAACAAACTGAGGGAGTTGCCATGGATCACCAATATTCCCGGTTTTAGCAGATATATTCATGGATAGGCGGGAAAACATAGCGATTGAAACGTTCACTCCCACCCCAAAAGTATGGCGGAGGTATGTTGATGAAACATTTACTGTACCCAGAACACAAGATATAGATAGATTTTTCGAACACATCAACTCGAAGGTAGAGGCAATTCAATTCACTTATGAATGGAAAGTCAGAACGTCAGGTAACTTCCAATGTTAGATTCCAACGTAAAAAGGAAAGAAGATGGGAGGTTAAACACTAGTGTTTACGGAAAACTCACACATTCAAACAGATATTCGGACTTCTGATCATCCCATCCTATGTCGGTGAAAATAGGATTGCTGAAGTGTTTAAGTGACAGAGCACAAAAACTAAGTAGTAGTAAGTAAAATCTAAGACAGGAAGTGATACATATAAGAAAAGCCTTGAAAATGAATAATTAACCTGACAAATTAGTCAGGAAATGTGTATGGGGATGGAAAAATAAAATAAATAATGATAGTAGCGATAGGCATAATAATGATAAAAATAATAACGGTAATAATAGCAGTGATAATTATATTAATTACGACACCAACAATAAGGAATCTAAATCATCAGTAGTAGTTCCTCGAAAACCTTACTCAGAATTCTTAACAAAGCAGGCAGGAATAAAAGTGGCTGACATTCAAACACACAGATGCAATTAGAAACAAGCTTTTGTTGGTTAGAGGATCAATCCTGTGGAGGCTTTAAAACAAAACAATTTAGTTTATATAATACACTAACTGCAATGATTGTCAAGTCAAATAAATAGGTCAAAGTAGTAGAACAGGCACAGTCAGACCAGCCGAGCATAAAAACCTAGCAAAATCTAGATTAGTTGACCCAAAAAAATAAGAAATTTAGAGAATAGTTCAGCTATGTCACTCATCACGTGCAGTTACACACAACCACACAATAGGATGGAATAGGATGAGAATTTTAAAATCTAATGTCACAGGGTGGGAGGGGGGATAGATTGATAACAGAAGCTTCGTTTATCAAATCAACTCCGAATACATGTAATAGGAATGATTCAACACCTGTCCACCCAGATATCTGGAAATTCTACTACCCCTACGACGACGAATGGGAGAAGACAAAGTAAACTATAAAACTCAAGCTTCACTGTCGTGTGATTACAATGATATGATTATGAATGGCAATAAATTTTGTTCGAAACGTCATCCAGTAAATAATACTTTTTCATCACTGTGTTTGATACATCTAATAAACAAAATAATATGGAAATCCATGTTGACTATTTCGCCAAATGAACAAACTCTATAGAAAGGCATTTCTGCTCATAAATTTTGGTATTCCATAGGCAGATATCGAGTAGGAAATCCTGGAGCTGAGCATTACTAGACGTTGGTTTTGCCTCACAATGACTTTGCGATACTCTCCAATTTACAGGATCATATCAGTTGGTGAATGTGTTAATTATTTGACTACTTCGGATAAATCTAGATATATAAAAATATCAGCTGCTAATGTCTGGTAAACTTCTGTCCTACGTTTAAGATATAGGTTGTTTGTCTGTGACAGCTTATTTGTGTACTTCTAACCAATGTGGGAGGAAGCTTTCTTGGTTATTTAGTGTCTTTGAGCCGCCATTGCTCTTTGAACAAAATCTTTATCACTAACTAAAACAAAGGAAGTGAGAATTTGCAATTTCTTCATCAATGAGACCGCTTTCTTGGTTGATAAGGTTTGATGTCAGGATAAGAAGACTTTAAAAAGTCAATTATTGCAGTCGAGATAATCACTAGAGAGACGTGTATTAAATTCGTCGACAATGGTAAGACTTACGTAACACTGAGGTTGGTGTTGAAGAAGAACAACAGAAGATATGCACTTGAACTGCTTTGCGAATAGTACAAAACAACTTAGAATCAACACTGACATTAAGTATGATCGAAAACGCATTCCGAAAAATAGACTTCAGCAGCTGTCGTTCCATGTAGAGCAGAGATATCAGGGGATATCAGAAGAGTACTCAATAAGCACGACATCATAGTTTTCTTCAAAACACCCGACACACTACGAAACAACCTTGTACATATAAAAGACCAAATCCCTAAAATTTCTCTAGCTAATTGTGTCTAGAAAATAAAGTGCTTGGAATGTGATGCGATATACATCAAACATATTGAGAAATCAAAATGAGAAGAAATGATCAACGTAGAGCACCTGTTCGACCATCGAGAAATCCATTGAACAAGTAAAGCTTGAAAAATCATGAACCACAGGTCTATACACGAAGCTTTAGAATCAGGTCACAAAATTGATTTCGACGATATTGAAATGATCCGTAAAAACTTCAGAAATCACAAAGACCGTCTTATTTCAATCAGAAGCCCTTTATATCAAGTAGAATCCAAATTGTCTGAATAGGAATGATGGAATAAGGCAGAATTTGACCTGGTTACAACACCACCCTCCTCCATGAAGTGATAAATCAGCACGAATGTGATTAGCAATTGCATTATGTAATCAAACGCCATTTTTAAAATGTTACTCACTTATCCAATCCAACGACATACATCTGGTTTTGTTATCTTTGCCGACTGGCCAACTTGACAACGCAAAAATGACCACACGCTGAGGAATGAAGATTAAACTTCTAATTTATAAGCTGAGATTTTGTAAATTCTGGCTTATTAGTACTTTTATCAAGGCTATTAGTAGCATTAAATAGCGAAGCATCAATAAAACCAATATCATTTTGTTGTATTATAATAAATCATTCTGCAGAGGTTAAATGGATTTAGATAGTTCAGGCACTACTCAAAGCTCAATCCTATTACCATGAACTTCTATATTTACGCAGTTGTAGATGATGATCGAAGCCTGACCAGTTCAATGAATAACAGAATCCTCAACATTAGCATTGTGAACATCATAGAAGAGGAATTGAGAGCTCTTAAACACGAGTTGACATTGAAAATGGCTGCTTTGAACACTTGATTACAATATCCATGTATTCTGCATCATTGAAGGTTCAAACATTTCAGTCACGATACAACTTCTGTATTGGCCTGATTCCTGATTGGAACACAGACTTTTAGCATTACATTATGTCATGTATATATATTTGTAATAACAAGCTGTTTTTTATTAATATTTTCGTTTGTCGGAGGGGTAAGATATACCTTCTGAGTACTATCCGTTGAAGGCATAGTATTTAGGTGATCACTATACACTGCCATCGGTCTCAAAGTTGTTGGATGAAGAACAAAGTCGTCTCCTTTTTCATCAGCTTATCTCTCCGTATCCATTTTGTTTTATTTCTTCGTTTTTCAAGTGGTACAGAGACTTTAAAATCTGAGGAGCGGTGGTTGGTCGTGAGCCTCAGGTGGAGTTGCTGGTCTGACACTACACTACTGGCTAAGCGAAGTGCCGACCGAGGACCAAACTCCGGTTGGCAGGTCTCCTACCACTGAGCTATTGAAGGCTCCTCTATGACAAGTAGATAGAACCAAAGTGATTATTACCTGTTCGTTTATGCATTTAGCCTATTGTGTATTATTATTATTATTAGCTTTACGTCACCAAATGTTGAATTAGTTCACTCATAAATAATTATATTTTCTAATTCGTTTTTCGTTTGTTTTTTCCTTATTTTATTTCTTTTTGTTTGCTCCTAGACTCTTTCACTCTGGATGCAAAAATAAAAACATGCAATGAAGTAAGCAGTCATTGTGTGTCTCCTCATTTTTCATTTTGTGTCTTTTTTTTCTTTTTAAATTGTTAGCGAACAGTGTGCGGTTTCGTTTCACAGTCGCCTGCATGACGTACTTTCATTGGGATTGGTTTTCTGCATGTGTAATACGATAATAATCTAAATAAATGAGAACACGCAATCACTTAAATAAAGACAATAGAAAACTAGACTGAGACATTCGTGTATGCGTCTTTTTTTCATAAATTATACAGAATTCTGTATGTTTGATGAACAAAAAAAAGACTAAATCTGCAGGAAAGCAAACGATTTGACAGTCGTCTAGTCAAGACAGATACTTTGAATCATGGAGCCTGCCTAATAATCGAGAAACACGATAGACAGAGGGAGAGAGATTCTAATAACTAGGATTAAACACATCTTCTAGTAATACAATAGTTCGTTGCAACTATTTATCATTACAGTATGTTATAAATGGGCTTGTAAATCTAAATTTTATTTACACTTGTTGTTATTACGAAAGACTATTCGGTGGCACAGAATGCTCGCCAACCATGCAGGTGGTTCGAGGTGCAATCCCCCCACCGATGCACTCCTTCGCTCCACTTTTTTTAATTCCTTTAAGTTTCCAGTGGAACATAAGGCTTCAAGCTTGAGGCTTGAAGTTTCATTAGCAATGGTATTTATTTTTACGGGATGGGACGGCTAGCCTCATGCGCAATACTCCCAATTTACAAGTCGTATTACTGGTTTAGTGAGATAATGGAGTGAGTCGTCCGGTCTTCGAACTTTTGAACCATCTGCTTGGTAGGTGAGCATTCTGCCTCTGTGCCAACTTCGCCTCACTAATCCAGTAATAATTCTAGTAAAGAGGGAAGGTTGAGCATTAGGCTAGTAACCCTATCTGCTACCAAAACTTCAAGCCTCTAGCTTGAAGACTGTTTTCATTTAGTTCCTTGGGAAAACTTTCAAAGCCTACTTCAACAATAAATGTACTGTGTAAACAACATGCCTATGTATTTCATTCCATTTCACAGGATCAAGCAACTGAACTAAAGTGGATTATTGATTATTTCTAAATTAAGGGATTCTTTTGGGTTAGGGAACAAAACATTTCGCCTTATAACTAAAAGATGAAGATCCATTTTAATCACGTTGATATAAGCGTGAAGATAAAAAGTGTCATTTTACCATTTTTAATTTCGTTGGATTAAAGCTAATTGGTTCTTATGAAAATAAATTACGAATTACAACTTTATCGCAGTGCAATATCACTCACTGACATAAGATTATTTACTGATGATATTTCAAGAACACTTCATCCCTCATAATCGCTGTATCAAGATGCTCCTATAACTTTCTAGCTTCGTTAATATAATACCATTATTTGTTATACTGTGATTTGATTGTAGTTATACTTTCGACATATTCATTACTGGTGTGGAGTCATTCTTATTGCACATGTTTTGGTGTGTAGATTCGATGAATGAAGATTCAGTAATCATCCTCTCTCTTTCCACCTATCTCTATTGCCTTTTTGAAATGGAATATTGTTCCACCATATTGCCTAGTTGTTTCTCAATGTATGCACTGCCTTTAGCCTAGGTTCTCTCTAAGCTGGTTATCTCTGTGGGGTAGACCATTCTACGCTTAGCTAGATTCTTAGGTTCTGATATTCTATCTCTGATCTAATGATTTCACCTGTGTAGTTCACCTTATTCGCAGTCATTGCAAAGTATTTTGTAGATTACATTACTTTGTTTAATTGGGTCGACAGAGTTCTTTAGCTTGCTGAAGACGCTCATGAGTGGGTTTTTAGGTTTGAATGCCACCTTTGTAGTCGCTCTATAGGGAATCCTTTTTAGGGTTTCTTTATGTGGAAAAAAATGTATATGCCTTGAATTCTTTCATATTTCTGTTATCTTTACTATTTTCACTACTATTTTTTCTTTTCCCGTTGAACCTTCACAATCTTCCTAGTGAATTTTAATGGATAACTATTTAACATTATTTATTGCTTATTCTGTCTGTTTTATTTCATCTTTTATAGATTTTACTAAACCTGCCTTCATAGATAATGAATGAGATGAATTAATATACCACTTGGAGTATGTTGGCTTTTTATAAACGCTTGTGCATCGTTAACCTTCTTCCGTTCGTTTTTTTTTTAATTTTACAGTAGAACATAGATAATTCTCCTTGTTCATTTTGTAACTTAAATGCAAGTGTTGTACCCTACGTAGCACACCATATATATCTCCGCCATTTCTTTAGAGTAGGATTAAATATATTAGGAGCCATCATTTTGGTGATCCCAATGTTTCCCTTCCTATTTCTCTCTCTCCATGTATAGATAGCAGTACTAGAGATATGGAATGTATTGCTCCTAATAAAACCAAAGGATCCACGACAGTGGAGTTATATACGCGAGGTAGGAAAGTTAACCGTGTGCCTTGATATGATGAGTATGGGAATACATTTCTCTTGAAAGGCAGTAATTAATACTGTATCACTGGATTTTAGAAACTAACGTTAGAAGTTTGCAAATTTCGGCTTACCTATGATTCGAAGCAGTCATCAATTTTAGCCTAGAGATTTTAGCCCTAACTTAGTCATTTGGTCATCAGTTCAACTTAAGATTGATTGCGAATTACTGAGAAATTGAAAGGTTAAATAAAAGCTTAGTCACAACCTTCAGTAATGATTGAAGAGATATGTAGCTCAGACAAATGTATTTCGGGCTGTGGTTTACTGGGATTTGTACAGTTGATGTATAGAGATTTCATTACGCTTTTTGACAAAAGTGTCAGCTTTACTCTTCTAAATGAAGTGAGGTTTCTCTTTTTTGTTTAGATAGCATTGCTATCTTTTCTGATGACCTTCTTTCTGATGCATAGTCCATTAAGATTTCCTTATTACTGTATTGATACTGATTCACATGTTGAACTCATATTTGATTTTCACCGACGGCTATCAATTATTCTTCATCGAGTAGTAAATTTTAGCCACAGGGGTGAAATCCTCTTTGACAGAAGTTCCGACAGTAGATTTTACATATGTACTGTATCGTATGAAATATTATTAATTTTCTGTTACAAGATTTTATCATGAGCTGAAATCGGTTAGAGAATCATAGGAAAACCTGCGGGAGTACTGAACAGCTATTTACTCCATCCTAGTGTGGAACTCTTCATCAGTACGCACACAGGACCTTCTGGTTACAAGGCAAGAGAGCTCGCAGACCATTAGGCCAATTGGACCCGGTCTAAAGGCAAGACCATGAATCCTAACTCCTACCATGTCACGACAAAGCGCAACAAAAGTTTGAATTCATGGGCTTGCCGATGAATCGGGTCCCAGTAGCTTAATGGCTTACGAGCTCTCTTGCCTTGTAACCAGAAAGTACTGGTCTGGAACCCTGGCTGTAAGTGCGTATTGATGGAGAGTCCCAAACAAGGCTAACGAAACAGGTGTTCAGTACTCCCAGCTGGTTTTTCAATGGTTCTCTAACTGATGTCAGCTCACCATGATGAAATTTTACAACCAATCAAACAAAATCCCTACAGACTAGTACTTAAATATTACTATTTTTCCCTAAAGTTCTAGATGAAACATAGGGCTTTAACAAGACGTCTCCACTTCACTCTGTTCATTTCAGTCCTCTTCAACTGACTGTATGGCTCTCCTTGCACAGTACAATATATGTCACACTCCAACTCGTAGTTTCTCATGCAGGAGTATGGCATGTGATTGTATTCAATGGTCCCTTCAGCGTTTTTCCAATTCATCTCTATTACCTCAAAAATATTTGTTGAGTACTAGGTTCTTTATGCGTCGGTGACATAGTGGTTAGGACGCTCACCGATCATGCACAAGATCAAGGGTTCGTGCCCCGGCCGACGCACTTCTTATTGAAGGCTGGAGTAGCCGAGCGATCTAAGGTGCTAGACTCAAGAGTAAACTACTGGGTGTTCTGGTCCACGATGTGGGCGTGGGTTCGAATCCCACCTCCGACACACGTAGTGCGTCGGTTGCACAGCGGTTAGTACGCTCGCCGACCATGCACATGGTCCGGGTTTCGATTCCGATCCTTTACCTCGCTAAGCCAGAAATAATGCTGGTAAAGAGGAAAGGTTGGGCATGAGACTAGCGACCCCATCCTGTAAAAATAAGCACTGCTACAGAAACTTCAAGCCACTAGCTTGAAGCCCTATGTTCCACTGGAAGCGGGAAGGAAAAAAACCAGGTTCTTAGTTGATTTATTGTCAGAGTTCCCTGTTGCTTTAGTCATGTGATCTTATGGAAGAAATAAAGGCATCCGTTGTTTGTTTGAAGTAATAACTTCTTTATTTCTCTTTGCTTTTTCACGTCAGGTAAGACATAAAAAAAGTTCCAATAAATGACGTCTGAATAACTTTAATATGCTTTGATTATTAGAATATGACATCTCAAAATTTTATTTATCTTATATATTTCAAACTAATTTTGAAGCAATACCGAATGTAGACTTGTAAGCGACAGTGTCAAGTATGATATGTAGCAAAAGGATACACGCCTTCTTTTTTAATTTCCTCATTATCTATAAATACTCTAATGCCATACTGATCAAAATATTCGATCTAATGGCATGTATGTAAATGAGATCGTTCGACTCCAGTTAAACTATTTGTTAATATGACAAGTAACCTAGAATAAGTCAAGTAACAAAAAAAAAGCGATTTCATTAATGAGATATTTTGTTTGCAGTTTGATAGCCATCGAAAAAAAAAGAAATTTTTGTTTTGTTTTTTAATGCTTAAGCTTGTTAAAACAAAAAACGAGTTTTCTTTCTGAATTACACACAGCTATGCAATAAGATGAAATCAGGAGATAAAAATCCAACAAAATTGCCTCAATATTTCATCAGCAGTAACTCTACTGAATTCCTTTTGATGTGTAACCTACTTCTTTTTCTCTCCATATCTTTCTCTCTCTCTCTCACAAGGGGAGTGATTTTAATTTATCGT